GAAAAAAAAAAAAAAAAAAAAAAAAATGGAAACTGGAAATTGAAAGAACAAAAGCCGCCAATAAGAGAGGTTGGTGGGATGGAAAAGAAAAGCTGAAGATGAGCTTTTTGTACACATCATTACTTCACTTCATCATTATTATCATCTATTTCATTTTTTTATATAATAATTATATAAAAAAAAGTAGTATGCTTTTATTGATTTCTTTTATTTTTTTAATTTTATAGTTTCATCGAGTTAAATAAACCATCACGAGTAATATCCTAATAATAATTTACTTATATTTATTATCTCGAGATCAAAAATTGATTTTTTTTTTTCTTTTCAATCTTTTATCTTCTAATATTTTTAGATGATTATCAAATTTGTTCCGTAACCCGGTTGAAAGTTATATTTACAAATGGGTTACATGTAATAATATTTTACAAATACCCAAATAAAAATTAAAAAAGAAAATTAAGGGATTATTTGATGGTAGTCAAATGAGAGAGAGAGAGAGAGCGGATTGAAGTGAATATAAAATTCCACCTCTCTCCCTCAACTCTCCAACACAAAAGAAAAATTTTAAATAAAAAAAAAAAGAAAAAGAAATTAATTAATGAATGAATGAAGAAAGTTGAAATAAAATGATTTTGTCGTGTAATATGTGAACTGGATCTCGTGGAAATTGGGATTAAGATTTCCAGAGATTATTAATTATTTATCTTTCTTATAATAATTAATAACATTTTATTTTATTAATAAAATCAACTTGTTTGAAAAGACAATATGAAAGAATAAATAATTATAAAACGAGGGACAGATGCCTTCAAAAGTTTATACATCACTGTTGGTAGCCTTATAGATAGGGTACTTATATTTTCCATTATTCCATACTTTTATTTTTTCAAAACATAAAGCTTAATTAACCCAAAACCTTATTATAAATTTAATATATTCTTTTATATATATATATATATATATATATATATATATATATATATATATATATATATGTATAAGCATTGTAGAATCAGAAATTACGTATGATTTAGTTATAAAGTTCATTACTTTTTAATAAAGGGAAATACTTTAATGGTGGGTCTGTATCCAAATTTTCAATATATATTATAGATTCCAAAATTATATTGGATCTTAAAGAGTTTATTGAATAAACTTAAATTGGATATTGGGTTTCCTTTTTTGCATTAAAAGTCATATCTTTTGCCTTACTTTTTAATGCATGCATTTGGTGGCTAAACTTTGAAGTTTATTATAATTATTATTATTTATTTAAAAAAGTGTTCAAAACAGCTTTTGATAAATGGATTAGAAAAGGATAAAACGAAAATTGAAAATTGGGGATTTTCTTTAATAAAGTAATCTTTTATATATAATATATATACTTAATATGAAAGTAACCCTCTTTTCTCAAACACCTTTTTCCCACTAATATAATGTATGGACAAAACCCTTTTTTTTTCGTTTTAAAATTTTAAAATTAGAGATTTAATCATATTGTATGATACGATATCGTTTGTGGGTGTCAATTTTATTTTGGTATATGATCGTCTTTTTCAATTATTTGAACGAGAAAAAATGAAATGGAATAGGAAACTTGAATAATAAAATGATCCCATGTTGGGTGATGCTTAGGTTTTTCATTGACCCCAACTTTGCTTATTTTAAGCAACAAAACTAAGTCTTTCTTTCCCTTTATTTATTTATTTATTTGATTAAATATTCTTTAATTCATAGCTTATTCCAATCAGTGCTGCAAGTTGGGAGGTTTGGCTCTCACTCTAAATATAAAACTCCATAATAATTAAATAAGTAATGAATTAATTAAGTAATTACCTTTTAATTGTGCAACGAAAGTTTATAATAAAACCTATATTTTGATAGAGTTAGCTGTTGGTTTAAGTTCCATGTGGATAATAGCTGGCCTTTCATTACTAAAAAAAACAATACCCTTTTATTTTATTTTATTTTCTTCAAGAAATTATTGAAAAAGAATTTTTGTAAAGTAAATTTAAGGATCTACAAAATTGAAGATTGTGTGTTATCACATGGATTAGAATGGCAGAGATATAAGTAATAGATCATATCTATGAATGGGATACAGAGTATAATCCAGACTGGCTTCGCTTACACATATGTTGCTCTTTCTTGGTCAATCAATTGGCCAATCCACGCAATCAAATTCTGTATATTTTTTGTTCCTTTTCTGCAGAATTGACCCAAATATTTGTTTGAATGATTCTTTGAAGACTTTGAAGGAACTTTATATTCTTGAATAGATCACTGGGGAAATTAGCAACCTACATGGAAGGCAACTCTTTGTTTATTTGTTTATTTTCGTGTAGATTGATAGAAACGTTTTTGTTTCAGGATCATGAACAGATGAAATCTTGACTGGGAAGATGAAGGGGCAGGCAATCCAATTTACAAGCATTTTCAGGCTTTTTGTGTGCGCTGGCTGTATTGCTTGTTGCGAGTATGTTAAAACATAGCTTTTCCAACGCCTAAAATTTGGTTTCATATCTACAATTAGGCATCGCTCCATGAGTCACCATTGTCGCTTCCAACAGCCTGAGAAATTTCTCAATGGTTACCACGAGTCCTTTATGTATAATGATATTATAGTGCAGAGTAGGAAAACAAAGACAATGAAGAACCTGGCGGATTGAGTTGGCTTTCTCCAAAATTGCTGTGACTTTGATGTGGGTAGCAGGTCCAGTTTGAGTACTGGGCTTCTCAGTCACTGTGCGCCGTAGGTTGAATGACTGGGGATAACATGGTTGGTTAATAACAAGAACTATGTTAGTTCTAACTCATTTCATCAAAGGAAACCATGATATGTACTTTAAAAATTTATGGTGTTTAAACATGAACATGATAGCCTACATTGCATCAGTGTAATTCAATATCCAGCCAAACCAAATCAACAAGGGGAAACTAATTTTCAACAAAAACGCAAGGAAGGTGCTTACTTTTGCTCTAATTTGTTGCAGGAAATCTTCCCTAGAATCCATCACTTTGTCATTTCCAATGTGGTTTAGTTCTTTCTGACCATCCACTATCACTTGTTTTGGCTTCTACATTCAATAATCAATGCATAAGCAATTATGGTTTCCCACATCTTAATCATTCTGGCTGGCTTTTTGTTTGTTGTAAAAAACAACCAATGTAAAGTACTATTTACCTTGCCATTTGACTTGTTTGCATTGGGCGCTTGCTGCGAGCAGACTGGTTCCACTTGTTTTGAATGAGCAGATAGATCCTTCTGGCCATCGGACACATCTAAGGATGTTTTTGAAACGCACCATTGTGCAGGAGGAAGAGGTGGCGGAGCTGGAGTAGGGCTATCTGAACATTGCGACTTAATTCTTCCACTTGGTACAGGGTTCACAGTGACAAAACATGGAAGATCAAGAGATGGACCAGAAAGAGATTCATCCATGCCCTTCTTAACGTTCAAATTTCCACTTTCATCAGCCATAGTGATGCCGCTTTTTGTGATTCCCTGAAGCTCAAATGATGTAGACAAAGACTCCGTCTGTGACATGTGGTGCAAATCATACAAGTTCTTGCCTGTGGTTTCTGGAGTGTCATCAGACTCCCACAGCTCAGAATTTGACTTAGAGTGATTACTAAGACAATCATCAGACATACATGGAGATGATCTGCAGAATGTGTCATCATCAGACTCAGAGCCAATCTCATGCACAGAAATAGACTCCTCTGGGGCCAACTGAAAGGATGGAAATATGTCCTTATTGCTTCCGCGACCATCACTGCCATCAGGAAATCTCAGTTTCAATTTTGAAGTTTCAAAACCACAGACAGGATGGAAAGAGATCTTCATGTGATCAAGTGGGGGCGAAGGACATGAATCCGACGAAGAATCACTGGCTAATTGCTCTGTGGAAGTCCTTTCATACATTGTTTCAAAAACAGTATCTTGGTAGCCATTTCTCTTCCCTGCACCATCTGTATTCATAGATGTAGCCTCAAATCTTTCATCATGTAGTAGCGTCAGTTTTCTATGAAAGCCATTTACAAGCAATTGATGGCTAAGTCCAGAATTTTGATTGGAGTTTTCATCTTTCTCCATAATGGTTTGAGTAGGCATGCCATTGACATTAGGTACAGCTGGAAGCGCAATTCCAGCTGCTGCTATCACATTTCTTTTTACCACATTATTCATATGAGCATAACTAGGTCCATCACTTGAACGATCATCACCGTGCAATGAGGACTTATTAGAAGTTGAATCCTTTTCAATATTAATAGCAACCTCTGGAAAATTATCCATTTTTATTTCCTGTGCATGATCAGAAGGGCCACGTTTTTCACCTTTACTTGAGTTCTCACAAGCAGCATTTGGTACGGCCCAAGAAGGAGGCTTTGATGGCTGAAGTCCTAGTAAGCCACCATTAGTCCAGAACTTATCTGAAAGATGGCTGGAGAAAGAAACCTTTTCGGTTTCATGTATTCTGTTCAATAATTTAATTCCAGAATGATCCTCTAAACTAGAATTGGAGTCTGGAGGGAAGGAATCAGTGATATCAGATTCCAATGTGGAACTTTCTTTGCCATGTAGGTCGGTTACTAGGGGACGGTCAGGACTAGAAACCTTCATTGTGTTTTCAAGCCTTTGATCATGGTAAAAACCATCTGAAGAAACAAAATTTGGTAGGCTAGAAATAATACCTTTGTCAAAGGACTTTTGAGGCTCACTAGATTCAAGGAGGTCATACATTGGATCTACTACTTCACACTTTATATTGGATGAGCATGGCTCTACTTCTCGTTTAGTCTGGCAATCAATGTCAGTTTCAGATTCTGACTCAATTGTGTTGAGTGCATCCATATAATTGTCCGTTTCACTTCCAATTTCATCAAACACACTCCTGTCGTAAATTGATTCTAAAGGGTGACCAATATTAGCTAGCGTGCTCGTTTGTTCATCATTTATAAGGTAAAGGCCTTCCGTTTCACATGGATCCAGGGAAGATTGAGGTACAGGAACTTTATATTCTTGATTTTTAACTTTATCATGCTGTTGATTCGTCGACTCCACCATCTCCACTTTTTCTCTACCACCCTGTTGACTGCCCGGCTCCACCATTTCTGCCTTTTCTGTGCCACCCTGTTGAGTCCTTGGCTGCACAGTTTCTGCCATCTCTCTAATATCCTGTTGGGATCTTGGCTGCGCAATTTCTTCAATTTCTCTAACGTCCTTTTGAGTCTCTGGCTGCACAATTTCCGATGTTTCACTAACATCCTGCTGAGTCCTTGGTTGCTCTATTTTTGCCATTTCTCTAACATCCTGTTGAGTCCTTGGCTGCACTATTTCTTCCATATCTCTGACATCCTTTTGAGTACTTGGCTGCACTATTTCAGCCATTTCTCTAACATCCTGCTTTGTCCTTGGCTGCACTATTTCTTCCATTTCTCTAACATCCTGTTGGGACCTTGGGTGCACAAATTCTGTCATGTCTCTAACATCCAGTTGAGTCCTTAGCTGCACTGTTTCTACCATTTCTCTAACATCCTCTAGACCTCTTGACTGCACTATTTCTGTCATTTCTCTAACATCCTGCTGATTCTTGGGCTTCAATATTTCTGCCTTTTCGTCCCATGTGACATGAGAAGAGAAACTCGAATCGATTTGATCCTCTGGTGCATATTGAAATTTATCGTCCATAATCCTACTTTGTTCATCAGGGAGAACTGAATCAGCAGCATCACTATACTGCATCAAACTTGGACTTGAAAATTCCCTAAACTCCTGTTCTTTAGTTTGCAAGGAAGAACCTAATTTCAAAACATTTCCAGCATATCCTGACCCCGTTCCAGAATCAAAAGAATTCAAAGAGTCCCCAGCATCTGATTTCATCATCCGATCAGCTGTAGCGGTTTGAGAAAGAGACGCCCCTTCATTTGAAAAGGAGGTCAACTGCAAGCTGCATAAAAAGTTGTCAGTGATCCATTCAACTAAAGAAGAAACGTTCAAAGCTAATCGTTAGTTAGTAATACCTGCTATTAGGATTGGAAATTGATGCACCATGTATCATTTCTCCACTGTGTACCAATGATCTTTTTCTCTGCATTGTTAATTTATTGGTCATAATGACTACTTTAAATAACAAAACTGATGTATTCCACTAACAAACGAAAAAAAAAAACCAAGAAAAGAATGGGCCAAGCTTTGATTTCAAGAATATTAATTAACACAATGACTCCATATTCTTGTTGTTCCTGGTGCTTACGGTAAGTGTAACAACCCAAGCCCACCACTAGTAGATATTCTCCGCTTTGACCCGTTACGTATCATCGTCAGCCACACACGTTTTAAAACCGTTAGGCTGATGACGATACGTAGAACCAAAGCGACCAATATCTGCTAGCAGTTGGCTTGGGCTGTTACAGCTTACTCTAGGGTGTTAAATTCAATCATGAATCTAGGCAGTTGAACCTTAAAAACTAATCATTTATTTCAAAGGTGCACGTAACACATATAACTCCTAGACATTCACTGCAAACCTTGATCTTGTGAGCCTTTTTTTCACTCCGAACCTTCTCCAAGCTTATTTTTCCTGAGGTTGATGTTTTCTTGAAGAACGTTGGATCTGAATAACGCTTTAAACAAGATCCAGGACCCCTCGTATCAAATCTGGATGGAGAGAAGAACAGAACTGTAAGGCTTGCCTTTCATTTTCAGCAAGGAGATGCACCTTAAACAAAGTTAAAACACTGATCATACTTATCAAGCAAATGAAGTTGTGGAGGATCACGACATTCTTCATAGGCATCCATCATAAATCGTGGCAAATCATGATAGATGAAGTGATTTTGTTCAGTTCGAATACGAGGATGCCACTCAGAACCTGCAAAGTAACTGCATAACATTATACAAATATGCAAATGTTGCAAAAAATGTTATAGAAAACTATAATTATGTCACTCTAAAGCACATCTACTCAAACCCAGTTTACAATCAGGATGTTGGACGTTTAACTTTGGATAAAATTTAGGTTGTTAATCAGTAACTACATGATGTCATGATTTGGACAAGGCACCAATTTTGATGGATTTAAGCTTAACAAGATAAAGCAAACTTCTTGTTTATCATTTTAAACAAATGTGATAACATGATCCTGATAGAACCTAAGTTTTGGCTAAAGCGGCATGCTTGAATATAGGTGCTATAGCAAAACAAAACTGACGATTAACTAAAGCTAAGCTCACTATTGTTCTGAAGTTAAATTTGATCAGTACTGAGTTATTAATAGGACCTCCCGCCCTGTTAGTGTATCAAAAAATTGCCTCCTTCAGGTATTCTCTTTCCAGTAATATGGACAACAAATCTTCAGATATAGACACTCATGTATATGCGTGTTTAGACCATATAATAATATAAATAAAACTGTAACAGTCCAAGTGGTGCCCACCGCCAGTAGATATTGTCCTCTTTAGATATTGTCCTCTTTGGACTTTCCCTCAAGGTTTTTAAAACGCGTATGCTAGGAGAGGTTTCCACACCCTTACAAAGAATGCTTCGTTTCCCTCTCCAACCGATGTGGGATCTCACAATCCACCCCCCTTCGGGGCCCAGTGTCCTCGCTGGCACTCGTTCTCTTCTCCAATCAATGTGGGACCCCCAATCCACCCCCTTCGGAGTCCAACGTCCTTGCTGGCACACCGCCTCATGTCCACCTCCTTCGAGACTTAGCCTCCTCACTGGCACATCGCTCAGTGTCTAGCTCTGATACCATTTGTAACAGCCCAAGCCCACCGCTAGCAAATATTATCCTCTTTGAGCTTTTCTTTCGGGCTTCCCCTCAAGGCTTTCAAAACGCGTCTACTAGGAGAGGTTTACACACCTTTATAAAAAATGTTTCGTTCTCATTTCCAACCGATGTGGGATCTCACAAGAACATAGAAGAAAAGTTAGAAATTAGGTAAGATAAATGGCTGTATGGCTGGACGCTGCCTATAAAAGGTAGTCGGTATCTGTGTTGTGGGGGGAATCTAGAACGCTTCCTCTTTTCACTTTTACGAACAAGAAAATAACAAAAGTTGCACACTGTACTGTTCGGACACAATTACAAAGGAAAAGAACAAACAATTGTCTACATAAACAGACAAGGTTATCTCTAATCAAGACCAGAGTAATCACAAATAACAAGTTGATAGCTCCTTATAAACTGAAACAAATTAAGTTTAAGTCAAGTTATATATAATTTAGGTGGCAATTGAGTCATACCAGCTGTGTAAGCAAAATGAATGTGACTTGTTTGAGTTAGTATTGCCTTTTCAAATGAAGGAAGAGCAGCTTCAATCTGTTTGAGGCGAACCATGACTTTGTGACTTCTGGAAGCTGTTGTCATAACCTGTTCTTGCAACCCATGAAAAACCTCCCCCGCAAATCTACAATATACGATGATACCATCCCAGTCAGCTTAAATGTTGTATAAAGTACCCTCTATAATCCGATTAATATAAGACCGCATAACTAACCCATTATACAGTACGAGACGTAAGAGCTACCTAAAAACAAGAACATCTGAAGGGAAATACCTAATTCGCAACCACCGAGGCAGCAAATATAGTAGATAAACAAGTTAGCAAAGCAAAGAAAAAAAACCGTACTCGACAAGGTCACCCAACTGCTTCAAGATCCCGACGAGACCAGCAACGGCTACACCGTCGAGGACGGCTTTCGGATCTTCATTGTTGGCCTCCATGTAGAGATGGGGCTTTCCGAGCCCGAACTCGCTCTTGACCTGCACCCTGACCAGTGGCATCTTGCTCTAATTTCACTTGGTTCCTGTGCGCATTTGAGGAAAGCAAGGCGAAATTGTAGCTGAATGAAGTGAAGGGAGCTGAAAGAAAATGGAGAGAAAAGAAAGAGAGAGAGGAGAGAAGGTTCGTCGGAGATGTTAGAGAGAGAGTTGGTGGTGGGGATGGGAGCAGCTCAACTGCTGCAACGAGGGAGCTTTTCTGAGTTTTGTAGGACATTTCATTCTTTTCCATATAATAAAATACAAATTGTTTATTATTTCATAATAAAACCCACAAAAAATCTATTCAGTTTATAAAACTTTAATTTTTAAGAGCCGTTGAAACCCACCGGAGACCGTAAAAACGTGGCTCCCACAACTGTTTTCCACCTTACGGTGTGGACCCCACTTAGGGATAAATAAGGAAATTTCCTTTCTAATTTTGTTTTTCATATTCTAAATACTGACATTTACTGTTTTTGTTGATTTATATCATATTTAATAGTCCAAATAAATTAAATAGAAGTATAAAAAAAAAAATAAAAAATAAAAAAAAACATTGGACTATATTTTTATATTTATACTTCTTATCGTACTCAACACCTCTCGTCATTAGGGAGAGAAAATAGTTTTTGAGAACTGCCAGCCCTCAACGGTACCCTACAGAAAAACAACAAAAAAAACATGTCGAAAGATATTGACCGTAACTCGGTTGTGTTACTGTCCAATTAGGTTTCCAACTGATATGTATATATCAATTATGTGACCAAGACAATTATGCAAATAGTGACGAAAAGAAAGGGCCTCTCTTTTGCAGAAGCTAAAAGCCCAACCATAGTCCTACCGGCCCAATAATTTCTGAAATTGGGCCCAAATGTACAAGGGAACAACTCCAATTGACACACCGACTTTACGAGTGCAAAATAACAAAAAAATAATCCACAAATAAGAATTTTAGAAGTGGGGCCTACCGAGGAAGATGCTCTCTTGTACAAAACTATGGGGTGCGAGGGGCCCAATCACCTGCCTTACTACCCATATTTAACAGAGTACTTCAAACAATAATATTGCATCAAAAAAGTGAGGCCATTGTTGCAACAATTTTGATTCATGATCTCTTGGCTCAAATTTCCATTTTTCCCGATAACCGGATCGATTCTATCATACCCAAATTGTCAAAATTTTAAATTTACGAGAATTGAACTAAATTTAAGTTTATGAATGGCACTGAAACAACGAAACGACGATGAATATGACCATCAAAATGTTAACAACACATAGTCGTACCGTAAAAAAGTGTGTTCAAGAGTATTAGAGGGATGGAAAGAGAGGAGCATAGGGAGATGGGGAAGTGAGAGTGTCTGCAATTTGATTCTGTTGGCTGTGTAAAAGTGTTGCATCCGACAAGGAGATTTAATGAGAAGGGATTTGGCATTCGGTTTTAGGACACATACTGTCCTGTTTCTTACAATTACTACATGTCATTCTCAATGAAAGGTCAATTTTCCCATCTCCCCTTTTTAAAAAAAACTCATCCTATTCAGAATCAGGCGTTGAATACTAACAGTACAAAAAGCTTGGAAAGCACCAAATAATGTGGGGTTGCCCTTCGCCTTTCTACTCATATACATTCATATCTAATGGGCATCATCCTCATACCCATTCATTCATCAGCTTTAGTACCAAACCAACCCAATTCAGTGTCTCCCACAGACAACCTGAGCTTGTCTTCTCCTTTGCATTGCATTTCATTCAAAAGATGCAAGAAAATAAAAATATAAAGCTGCACCAAAAACTCTCCAAATTATTATTGCACATATTCCTTTTGTGGGTTCGATCCATCTATTCTCGTTCTTTGCAAAAAATTCGTTTTCTGTTCAACTTGAACGAAGGAACTGGTGTCTTATGATCAGTGGAGTTATGTTCATGTGTAGATACCCATATCCCAAATCACGAACAAGCTACCTCTTGATTCCTCATGAACACATTAAAAAAAAAAAAAAAAAAAAAAAAAAAAAAAAAAAAAAAAAAAAAAAAAA